GTGACGTAGTGAATTAGAAAATTAATTAATTGGTAAATGAGTGATTTAAGTGATATGGTAAATTTACGAATTAGTGAATAGTTGAATTAGTGAAGAGGTGAATTAGTCAATTAGTGACGTAGTGAATTAGGGAATTAATTAATTGGTGAATAGGTGAAGTAAGTTATATGGTGAATTTATAAATTAGTGAATAGTTGGATTAGTTAATTATTGAATTGGTGAATTAGTAAATTAGTAAATGTGTAAATTGGTCAATTAATCAATTGGTAAATTATTAAATTGGTGAATTAGTGAACTGATGAATAGTTGAATTAGTCAATTAGTCAATTAGTAAATTAGTGAATTGCTGAATATACGAATGAGTGAATTTGTGAATATGTGAAGTAGTAAATTAGTGAATTAGTGTATTAGTGAAATAGTGAATGAGTTAATTAGTGAATAGGTGAATAGGTGAATTAGTGAATAGTAGAGTCGGTGAATCGTTGAATTTGTGAATGAATGAGTTTATGAATTGTAGAATGGGTGAATAGGTGAATTTGTGAATGCGTAAATTTGTGAATTGGTGTTGAAAAAATGCGTCCGAGTGTAGAACATGGGACAGGCTAAATCTATTTCATTCTACTCATTCACCAGCGACCCGTCAACTGGCAGCTCGGAAGTGGTAGCCCACCCGTAGGCAGGCTCATTCACACGCCGACTTGGCCGCTCCTTCCCCATCCCACTTGGGGGGAGGGTTGCTTTTATCCCATTCATTAAGTGCTCGTTAATGCAGACCCCCAGCCCGAGCAACTGTCGCCTCCTCCCCTCGTCTCGTGCCGCCTCAGTCTGCGTCGTCCGGACGCTCGAGGCAGAAACGAGACGACACCGGACGACAAGAGACCGGACCGGACCGGACCGGACGGTACCGGCTTTCTGTCCGGCGGTGCATTTAAGTTGCCTACTTTTTGTGAGAGCTGTCTTGGTCCCGGCCCACGTCCACATGCCTGCAGGCAAAGTGTCGCTAGTGCCGGTGGGCCGACGCAATTCACGTTGGTTGCCCATTCGTTCATCGCCTCAGGTTCACGGACACGGTTCGAGTCCCGCGCCAGGATTCTGGATGAAGCCGGAATGAGGGAAGGGGGCCGGGACATGTTGAATCGGTCGACTCGACTCGACCCGAGAAGAATCTAGTGTTCCTTTCACGTTGGCCAAGTGAAAATAGGAGACAGTCTAAGCTCTTATTAATATGAAATGTATTCACCCGATTTCGTTTAAGGTAATGAAGGACTGGTAGAAGAAGAATTTTTCCACAATCATATGAGTTGAGCTGACATTTTCATTCAATTTCACATAGCCTTGATTTCCCAAAGATGTTCTCATCCTTAAGCGAAATTGGGTGAATACATCTCATATTGAGAATTTACTTTATTTTTTTAATAAAGTATTGTTTTCGTGACTAACATCAAATCAGTAGTATGAGATATATTCCCCCTATTTCGTTTAAAGTGAGGAAGGACTGGTAGAAGAAGAATTTTCCCACAATCATATAAGTTGAGCTGACATTTTCATTCAATTTCACATAGCCTTGTTTTCCCAAAAGTTGTTCTCATCCAGACACAAGTGGACTGCAATTTCGACCTCGCATCGGTCTTGTCAACACCCTCAGCGGGAGTCGAACCGCGACAGTGCAGGATGGAAGCTTGA